TAAATTATACAGTGTTTGTGTTTAGAAACTGAAAAATTCTATTACTCATTAAACAAACTTTATTTATTTTTGAAGAAATTTAGTAATGATATTTAAAATCAAAAGAAGGAAAATAAGAACAATTCAGAACCCCCCTTACTTCTCTGAAAGTTCAGTTTTCATGTTAAAATACAAATGCCATGGAAGCTTCTTCCATGTTTAATGTAGTACTATTCTCACTGAGGATGAAATATATGTTTTGAATTGTCTCAGAATTCTAAAGAAACTTAAACAACACTTTCGTGAAACACTCTTAAGAATTTGCAAAAATACATAATACATCCATTGACATTTTATAATATAATAGTTTTCTGATTTGAAATTGATAATGAACAAAACATTTGAAATATTTTGTTGTTTTTCTGTGCTTGTGCGAAATATACAAGACTACAGTGTCAAGATTTTATTTCAACATTAAGAAAAAAGTGATAACTTGTAAATCAACATTAGTAATAATGATCAGGAATAATTAATGCTCAAATTTTTTTTTTTGGAGTTATAAAAATGATGAGATAATGTTTCAGTTGTCCTGTGAATTTCAAGCTTACAAGAAAAATTTACCATTAAAGACAATTGTTTGAAATGATTTACTATCTATATAAAACACTCTTAATAGTAAGGTGTACTTTCAAATATTAATAGTCTGAGGTTAATGGAATCTCTGCAATATAGGAACATTATTAGTACATAATTTACAGCCTGGACTAGATAATACCATTAAATCCTGTAAGAAATTACTGTTTAAACCCTGATCATTTATCAGTCCCTTTTCCAAATTCATAAGTTAACATTGTAACTGATTTCTACCCATTGTAGAAATATTTATATCATTGTTTCTTTCCTGTAGAAGATACATTTCTTCTCAAAAATTAATTTTTTAAGATTTGAAATGTAAACATGTTCTTTGAAAATTGAAATGTGTCATTCATTTTTCTTCTTTTATTAACTTTTCAAGCCTTCTTAATATTATTAACAATCATTTTAGTGACTGAATAATATTTGTGAATGGAAAACAAGCATAGAATGTAATGAAATTGTGTGATATAATAATAAAAATATTTTATCTAAATTACCTGTGAATTTATTCTGATACATTATTTTAATACATATATTATATGTCATTACCTAACATAGACACATTTCTCACAAGACTCATCATGTTTTAAAAATCAATGCAAATTCAACAAGTTCGAAGAATCATTCCTAATCTAGCAAAAGAAAAGAAAAAATATCTTCATGCATTCTGGTTATCTGATGCTCTATTGTAAATTGTGACTCCTAAAACAAATAATTTAAACTTTGTTTGAATTCTAATGTCTGCAACAAATAACTCAATTTTTTGTGTTTGGCCATTTATTTAACTGAATGCAGAACACAATTATGTTGGCTGCATGTTATATTAGTATGAATTCTACAAAATTGCTTGTTAAGGTCATGCTAGATCAATATTGATAGGGAAGTGTCTTTTTATTATTATAATTCACACATTTAGCAAGGATTTATGAAGTAATCAACAGACAGCATTGCTGCTAAGAAATACTTGAAAATGTTTGTAAGATTTGAACAGTACGGGAATACAGACTAACCATAGAAAGGAATGTAGAGGCTCATCTACCATGACCTTAGCATATTGATAGCACCATGGACTGTTATTTTCAACAAGACAGATGAAGATTAATAAAAAATAAATCCTCCACAACCTCAATTTTATGTTCTAGAAATAAGTCTGTGCTGAGAACATTTTTCAATGTATATGATACTTTTATTACATGCAACAAATTTCTTTGCACACTAACACTGCCTCGAAGATATTGTTGTCTTCTTTTTCTTCTGCCCCTTCTCATTACGTTCAGTTACCTGGAGTTCAGCCTTTTCAACATCACAGTGGGGCATCTCCTCTACACACAGTAACAGTATTGTCTCTAATCACAAAATAGATATTCGTTGGCTTCCTACACATTGAATCCACTTCATAAGATTTAGGCACAATCTGTAATTGCAGGTTAAATGCTGATCCATATTTTTGAGGGACAGTTTCCGTGGGTCATTTTCTGTTCTGTTTGATTTCATCATGGGAATGTGAACACAACGTATTTCTTGGTTAAATAAATAACAGCAATATATGTGTTTGTGTAGGCCCAATGTTCCAAGGATGAATATTTGCATTTGTAGAAATTTAATTCATCCTTGAGCATAATATCAATTTCTAGGCTGTCATTATTCAGCAAAACTGTTTCTTTCATCTGTTACATGAACAGATGTTCATGGAAGGTGACAACAATGTTCACTTCCTAGTTATTTTCAACATGAGGCAACATTTCTCTCGACTCTCATACCTCACACAGTCACTAACACACTACGTTTCATATTTCATCATACTGTACCAATATTATCTACAGCGCATTATAACATAGCCCAGAGAAGATATGTGAGCCAAAGGAGTAACAGCTCCAAATAAACCTCCAACAGGAGTGGAATGCAAAGCAAAAACTATATGATCCCCTAATATTTGGGGCATCTAAGGCATTATATGCAGGACGGAGGTGAGACTAGAATTTGCAGGACATATATGTGACAGCCTCCATAACAAAGAGGATCCTGCTTCCACAATACAGAGGACAATGAAACAGAAAAGTTTCGTTCTGCATCGAGAATTTTTGCTCCTAAAGTAAGTACTAAATTGTATGGGCTGTTTAATACTTTAAGCTCTATTATTATTTTTGAAGATGAAACTTCAAATGTATGCATTCTAAATACATATGAAAAATATTGTCCATATCTAGGAGCTGTAAAAATTCTGATTAATGGCTATGTTATACTTCAACTGTATAAAAATATATTGGACTTCTCTATATACTTGTATTGCATCCAGCCAGTACATCCTCTGTGTAGTAAGTGGCGCTAAATCTGGTGAATGATAGGAGCATCAGAGTCAGAAGTTGTGATGTGAAAAGCATTGCATGTGCATCAAGCCACATTAAATTAAATGACTGAGTAGGGGCTTCCAAGTACTTTTAGACATCAATAATAGGAATGTTTATCACCCTTCAACAATGTATTTGTTTCTCTTAAAGAATAAAATAGCAATACTTGAGTTTGTACTTTTCTATGGGAAATATATATATATGTATATATATGGAGTCCAGCACATATGGATATCCCTCTGTTACATTTTGTTTTATTATTTTAATGCTTGATGAACATTAAGGTGTATTTTAAGCATGGGTGAAAATCCACTGGGGCACAAGAACATTAGTGAGGCAAAAAAAATTGATATTTTTTATTTTGAAGTTTCCATTTTAACCAGTTGAAAAATTAAATTTTATTCACGTTTTATGCCGAGATATTGTGTATGTAATTAGAAAAAAAGTTTATTTGCAATTAAAAAAATGGGCTAATCTAAAGAATTATGGTTAATCATATTATGTCAAACATACTATCTTAATTAAGCTACTATAATTATTAACACAATAATGAACATTAACTCAAACAAGTTGTTATGATTGAGAGAAACCAAAAAGAGGGTGAGTTGATTATCACTTGCTGCCCCAAAACTCTTATTACTGCCTTGCCTTGAAGATATTTATTGCAATATTTTAGAATGTGCAATACTTAGTGATGATTCTGATAAAATCTATTTTCTTACTTTTTTTATTCTTATTCAGGATATTCAAGTCCATGTAAGTGGATCATTTGCATTTAGACGTTTTCTGAAATAAAAGGAAGAAACCTGCTTTGATGTTTACATCAAGGGTCCCTTCAAAGACAGTTCTGTTGTAAGGATTAGGCTGTCAAGCATTAAAGTATGTAGTAAGAGGACGTCAAAAACATTGTGCCTAAGTGAAATGGCAAGCCAAGCCTAAAGTATAGAATTTTCATTCAAAATATTTTTATTCCTTCAAATACATCTAAAAAAACATTAAGTTCGATTAAAAATGGTTATCAACATTATCATTACGAGAAGTGATTTCGGAACCGTTTGAAGGTTGCTCATGTTTGGAAGGGCACTTTTACCTCCCAGTAAAATAGTGAGAACAGTGAGTGGTCCAACTACAAGACCCAAAGAGCCTACTCAGTCATCGTGGCGAAGGAGCACGACCCAGTGGCATCACAGCCTCCCGTCCACCCAGCGTCCACTGCCTACATCATCTCGCACTGCCACGGAGTCGAGACGGGAGCCCTCGACTATTTCTGCGCGCGGTGGATAGCGCGTCGCTCGTCGTAGGCGTCGTCGTCGTCGTCCTCGACCGACGTCTCCGACGAGGAGGCGGACGAGAGCTCGGCGAGGCGGGGTGGCGGCGGCGGCGGGAGCGGTGCGCGAGCGCCCGACCCGCGGCGGGAGGACGGCGCCGGCGGCGGCCAGCGCGGCCCCGCGCCCGACGCCGGCGACTCCTGCGGCGACCCCAGCGTCAGCGCCTCCTCCTCCGGGATGGGCACCGCGCCCAGCTCCAGCATCGACCCGCGCCGCCCTGCGGACGCCGCACGCTCATTATTTCGGTATCGCAGCGCTCGCGCTAGCGTACACCCCGATTTTAACGTAGTGTCTCTTCCAGGTCACGAGCTCGAAGGAGAGGGAGACACTACCATCCAATCGGGAGCCTCAATACCAAAACTTTAAGACGACACGAAGCCCCATCTTCATCCAGCTCTTAACCTTAAAATCGAATAGTAGAGAATGTTTTATGCCGGTGTTCCTCGCCCGCTGGATGATGGCGAGTTCTAGCGCCGACCTCTACGTCGACTAACTAGGGATTTCCCTTCCAAGAATCTCCTCCAGCGGGCACCACTTCGGCCGGGACAAGCCCCCGACAGGCCTCTCAGTATGTGTGGTTGTGCCGTGCATTTAAGCGTGAGCGTGAGCAAAACAAGTTAGGACCGTGTAAAATCGGCTTAAAGGTCTACTAGTCTCTCCCCTAAGTTGAGTCGAATCCTCCGCCGGAGCGGAAAGCTGAATGAGTACCTGTGACGGAGCGCCTGGGCCTGGGCGCGCCCTCGGAGGGGCCGGCCGGCGCGTCGCCCGCCGCAGCCACCGCCGCCGCCGCGGCCGCCGCCGCCTCCTCCAGCAGCAGCACCGTGCCCGCGCTGGCCGGCGACGCCGTGCCGCCGCTCGCCTCGCGCAGCGACGAGTCGGAGCCTGCGTCGTTCACGGAGCCCGTGCTCTCGCGCCGGAACAGCCCGATCACAGACGCCACCTTGGGCGTCTCGATGCCACCTGCGCACGCGCACGCGCACGCACACACGCGCTCAGACAAATTGCGGTGGAACTAGAGCTGCAAGCGCAAATCCAATATCGCGGCAAAGAGCCCTGTCACGGATTATACCACCGGCTACGTCTCCTTTTACACTCAAAAATAGTATCTTATTGAACTACAACATATATTACAATACAATTGAGTTATGGGAGTATTTATATTATACAGATTGTCTACGAATAAATGTTACAAACGTAAATGCATCCACAGGGGCCGATGGTGATCAATTTTGCCACTGTGCATGTGGTAGGAAATTTCATATGACAAATCTTCACATGTGATATTTAATTCCTGATTATTAGGCAACTTTCATTCAGTGGTGTTTGGAAGGTCACATTCTGACTCAAAGTGTATCCGTTTATCCGCTAAAAGTCAATACATGAGGAGTTTTCTAACAAGCAGGATCAAATGTCACATATTATGTAATGAGGAAAAAAGTGATCATCTTCAACCACTCTGCATGGCCTTGAAGCTTGAAGAATATATTATGAGGCAGCTGCGTTTTTGTCAATTAAGCCTGTTATTATATAAATAAACAAGTTGCCTTAGAATAAATTAGACAAACTTATAGAGTATGTAGATGTCAAAGGTGCTGACTTTTTGCCAATGAGCGTGTGTTAGGAAATTACATATAACAACGACAAACATCACATTTTCCCCTTGATTGGCAGGTAAGCCAACGTACATGGGTGTTTTGCAGGCACACGTTCTGAGGCAAAGACATTTCGTGTACCTGTCAAACGTCAGTGCAAGAGGTTTTGCCTACCAATCAGGAGGAAATGTCAAGATTTCCCACCTTACTGTCATTTTTGACATCGACCAGATGTATTTTCAATTTTTTCGAAGTTTCTTTAAAATGTTTGAAAATAGCGATTCTTTCACTCCAAAGGTTAAGTTGATACGTTGTTTGAAAAGAAAAGTAATTGATGGGTGGGATTTTGTATTTTTCACTTAAATTTGACCGATCCCAGATAATTTTTGAATGAGGAAGATTGTGTTTTACAAAATTGCTGTAAACTGTTTTATACGTTTGAATCTAAATCGAAATATGGATTATGTGTATTGATAAAATAATTGTTTGATATTGATATTATGGAATGAGTAAATCATAGTTTAATGATTATATAATATATCAGAAAATCCCTTTGTGATATTGGGCTAAAAGTTATTGAAGTAAGAATGAACAAATGAATCTCTGCGCTGGTTGATTGGAACGGATGACAAATACATTACAATGAATAATCATGCCGTTAGATATTTTAAGTGAAAGCCACAAAGGCATGCGTTGAGTTAGTTTCACATTGCCACTCTCGTGCAGTTAGTCATCGCTTCGCGCTACTCACTCATGTGGAGACTCATCGCATCGATCACAGGCACGATTTTCCAAAATGAAGCCGTGAACATCAAGAGTATATATTGAAAGAGTTTTATGACTGAATCGTATACTTGAACTGAGCGTGAATAATGTTTGCTGTAGCAAAATTGTAGTGCGTTTAAATGTGCAATAACAAAATTCCTCTTCACAGCTTTTGGCTAGTTTATTATTTATTTTTTCATTTGTAATTTATTTCGATTGGTCATACTAATAAAACCTAGAGGCTATGTTTACGTTCTTGCTTATTACTTACGTAGTACAGAGAAAGTGTTGTAATGCCGCGGCCAAAAGGCAATTGTTTGTCAAAAACTCGCCGTGTGAGGTTCTTACACCGAAAAATGAATACATCTTGCTTCTATATTTGGTAAACTACTTCGACGAACACTTTTGTTATTAGAATCTAAGTTTTTTGAGATTTCGTTATTGAAAAATTGGTTTACGACAAAGCGCCTGTCCGTCCATCTGTCTGTGAACAACGCTAGCAGCTCAGCCGTAAGCAGGATTTTCACCAGAATTGATATTCCGAGATCGATCGGGTGGATATCGCGACTCCTTGAATTTGAAATGGATATTATTATTTTGGGGGGTACTTTGCATGAACATTCGCTTTAACTTTTTCAATTTTTTTTTCAAAAATGGCTCCAAATATCTTTCTTTACGTATCTGTCTGTGACTGTTTGCCTGTCAACAACACTGGGGGCTAAACTGTAGACAGGTTTTGTACCAAAAATTATATTTTCCGATCGATGTGGCTGGTGTGTCCGCTTGACTTTGAAATGAATACTTTGAATTTTCCCTAGCATAGAAAACAAAAACCGCTTGTAAAATAGCGCTTGCTTAGTTTTCATTGAACTTTGTGAATTTTCACCAACTGCAAAAGTTCAAAATGTTTTCAGGTCTTCCTGCTAGTAAATATTAAACGCAGAGTTTTTTCAACAAAATCTGTTTTCGAAAGTTGTATTCTTGTATGAAGAGAGAGAGCCAAGAAAATCACTTATTTATACGTTTATTCATTTCTATCAGAGCGCTTAGCGTAATTTGAGGGCGGGATTAGGAGACTGCCCTCGTCCTCGTCCTCGTCTGCCCCCGCCATGCTTCTCTAAGGGTGTACCGTGAACCCTACTGTAATACCCTGCATTTGGCATGGGCAGTTTCTCCATCGCTTTAGTAGCATCATTCAAACGCAGTGATTAATAATTGTATAAGTTGTCTTGTTTACAGGTGGTCTCATATTCATTATGCCAAGAAAACTTAAAGACCTATTTGTCCTTGACTCACACATCTCACTGCATACACAGCTCGTCTGTTGATTTCATATCCTTTTATACAGTTATTGTTGTCCCTAGGAACATCCTGTTTTTTTAAAGTTATTATGTGCTAATTTCCAGGGAGATGTTACTTCTTAGTATTATATGACTCTTTTCTTCTCACCATAGCAAATTCACAAAGAAAACGTACAAACGCCAAAGTAACACTCGCACAGTACGTTTAAATTCGTAACTACACGCGACCAGGCAACCAAAACAAACCAGTCAAAATGGCGAAAGTATGAGAAATTTACGTTCGAAACACACTTACTATGAGAAATTTCGCGTTCAAAACTTGTTCAAATCACCGAAAAAAGAGAAGTCGGCGTTGTACTGCTGAAGCAACACCGCGCAGCACTTCATAAATTAAAGCATAACTTTAAAACTACTGTAGATAATTATTTTTTTACCAAATTAAAACTAAATAAGCAGAGAACAAATAAAAAATAAAATGAAAAATCGCTTTTTTGAAATTTTAAGATATATTTACCTGTTTTCGTGTAAAGTACCCCCCAAAATTAAAATTTCGTTTAAAATTCAAGAGGCCGCATTCATCTCCCAAATCGATAGGGAAAAAACATTTTTGTTGAAAATCTTGCTTATGGGTTAGTCGATAGTGTGTTTCATGAATTTATGGATAGACGAACAGATACTTCGCCTTAAACCAATTTTTCAGTATCAAGGACCCACGAAACGTGGATTCTGAACACACATCATGTTAGAAAATAATTGAATTTTTAATAGATATATGAACAAGAACTATCTACTTTTTCGGTATCGAGAACTACAATACAAATTTTACTGTCTAAAAATAGTTGTTTTCGCTGCATCATTACACAACGTTCTCCTTACTACGTAATATGAGGTCTGTGATAACGTATTATTACGGCGTTGATAATACTGACATAAATGCCTCGAAAATATCTTCAAAGTTTGTTTGACGCTATGAAGGACATGCTATTTTTACTAGTTGTGAAAAAAAAGAAAGATGTCAAGAAGTTAGCGCAAGCTAGTGAGTCAGATGAGAAGAAAAAAAGTTAGTATAAGTAGAGTTAAAGAATTTTTAGTGCAGAAATATCTAATTTACTCTTCGATATTAGACAATGCCAATTTTTGCAATTTAGAGAGCATTTCAAACAAAATGAAATATTAGTGTCAGAAGTTTACTTCAAGCGAAGGGTATCGCAAGTACGACGTGTAGTGTTGCTCGGGGATGTGATGGGCGCTAAAGTCGTAGGAAAGCAAGATTACATGAACTGTGTGGCACAGTACGCAATTAGTAAGTATGTAATACGGGTAGCTTAGTTCCCATTGAACGTCCTATTACTTAACAATAAACGAAAAACTTGCTTGAAACAAAAACAGAACGAGCATCTAAACATAATGTACATAATGTATTACATGCGTTCAAAATGTTGTTGTTTAAGTTTTGATTTGTGGCTCACTTTGATTGAAATAAAATAAACGTTCCTTCCTGAGGAAACATACATTTGGAGATACACATTCCAGATGTTGGTAATGTGAGTCAATAATTCCGATAAATAATTAAGCAAGTGTGTGGTTTTGCAAACATTGTAAATAGAAGTTCAGAATAAAACTTCTCTAATTTTGAAACAAATGAACTTAGTAGGAAAATAATATTTAAAATTGGTTCAATTAATTTCGATGAAAATGTTTTAAAAATTATTATAAAATGCTATGGTGAATTTAAAACAAGAAACGAATACATCAGAGTTTATGCACATGATTATTATTATTATTATTATTATTATTATTATTATTATTATTATTATTATTATTATTATTATTAATCTCCAAGAATACGTACTTTCTAACCGCATCAAAAAGTACCCTAAAAGTTCGAAAGGCTAAAATAATGAATTGGAAAGTTAAGTTACAGTAGAATAAAGGGACGACTAAGCTAAATCTAAAACGTTTGAAGCGTCGTATGACCAAGGACCAACTTAGAAGTCACTGAGCTTTGTGTATTTTCCATTTTAAAACTATCGAGTCAATATCAAAAATGGAGAAGTCCAATTGCTAATGAAATGAAAAAATCTACGTATGGAAAATAACGTATTTTTCTGAACTTGTAGTATTTCATTAAGAATGTCCATATTCGAATCAAGAGGTAGAGGGGAGCTGAATTAGCTTTACGTGAGGCCCCCATGCAATAAGCAATAAATGGAGGCAAGGTGGAGTCTAGTTTTTTATAAGTTAATACTTATTACTACGTACATTTTCTATTCACTGGAAATAAAATACATGTACATGAAAAAATAGTAAAAAGAATCAGTATTGTCAACTTGAATCTTAAAATCTTCAAATATTTAAAAACCCTAATTTTGGAGCATTTATAATTTTGAAATGCCTGGTGATAGCTTTTTTGAACAAATGGTTAAATTCAAAATTAATAACAATTTGAAAAATATATTGATATAGCAAATGGCAAATCGATATGCGATAATTATTGAAAAAATTACACCTGTTTATCAATGAAGTGTTTTTGTTAGTGAATGCGTCACAAAATAAAGATTTTTTTACATTTTTGAGCGAATAACTATTAGAATTTCTATTTTTATCTATTCACAAAATTAGTCCCATAATATTTTATTCCCCAATTAAAAGTCTTAGTATTATGTGTAACATACAGCAAAAATGGAAATCCTGTCAGATATGTGTCTGATGAAAAAATCGCCCTTTTGAAAATTGGCATGATACACTAATTATGAACTGTGTGAACATTGTGAACTGAAATTAAAAAAACAAAAACAAAAAACAAACATGAATGAAGGTGATGATTGTTCTGAACTTGAAATTGATTCCCCAGAATCGTAAAAACCAACTTCCCGTGGCGGGGTCTTACCCAGGAAGGTGGCGGAGGGCGAGCTGTAGGCGAGGTACTCCTTGTTGGAGCACCAGGCGGGGAACTCGCTCTGCTTGACGGGGCCCGCCGTCGCGTCGCTGTCGTCGCCGCGCTTCCAGGGCAACGTGGTCTCGGTGGCGGTGGGCGTGGTCACGCGCGCGCTGTCTGCTCGCATGCACACACCACACACGTGGAGCCACCCGCTAACACGGGGGGGGGGCATTGAACCGATCCGAAGGTTTGGTTTTTCCATTTTGCTTGGCTTATTTTCACCTGCCGATCCGGATGGCTGAGTTGGCTAGAGCACTCGGCGCTTCGGTCCGAACGGTCGCGGATTCGAGTCCCGCCGTGGGCATGGCTGTCTTTCATGTGTGTCGCCGCGGAAGGCCTTGTGAGTCTGCTGACCAGAAAGTGAGGAGACCGCATGAGTGACTAGAGTAAAAGATTAATATGTGTCCTCAAGAGAAATCTAGTGGGAACCCGGCGTGGATAGCGGAAATCGGCATCCCCTGAAAAAAGCCCCAAGAAGAAACAAAAAGGTCACTTTTCAAGAATAAAGGTCATACAGCGAAGCCTAAGTAACATTGACTTTATAACTTTGGGGATAACGGTAACTGAAGCATAACTCGCATACTCGTATACGGACACACACAAATATCAGTGCCCCGAGCGGGATTCGAACTCGCATCTCCTCAGGTACGAGACAGGTACGTTCCTCCAGCCATAGCGAACTCCGCCATCCAGGCCGACGATGGATGGCTTCTGTTGGGGAGCGAAAAACTTCTACACCGCTGCATCTTTAAACTTTTGGGTTTAATTAGAAGAAAGTCGCGGTGCTCCCTTCAAAAAAGATATTATAAATACACTAACGAAGAATTTCTCATTTATAAAAAAGTGATTAATTAAATTTAATTTATATATCTTATGTATTGCGTAATGCTTTAATTTGTATTTATTAAAACATGCAACATTTTTATATCAAAATATGCACGTAAAATTGAAATTTGAGATTCTGTAAATTATTTTATTTCTTGACCAAATTTAAACTTATTGAAATGTGCAGCTTCATGCAAGAATATATTTCGTTATTATCGTGATGGAAAGTGCATAAGCGTTAATTACAATATACGACTAAGGAATTGATTTTCTTTTTAATTTATTCCTCCAGTAATAAACTTCGATGTGAAAAGCTGTTCAGAATATCCATTTCCATTTCCAATGAGCAATTCTGATTTCCAAGTAAAACAATTTAACCTGATGCCAAGAAGTTTGGGAACCCTTCTTTTTAGACGTTTTCTTTTCGGTTCGATGCCCCTCTGACAGGATGTGCATGCACACTCAACAACAAGTCGCTGGGAGACGCACTTACCCGCGTCCGAGTCCCTCGATGTCTTCTTTTGCAGTTCGTTGCTGCTGCTCCCCGAGGCGAGTTCGTCTGCAGACAGACACACTATGAACTCTCTTTCGCACTCGCGCTTTCGCTCTCCTTATTCTTGTCAAAGGAAAACTCATTTGTGATCGAGTTTAGAAATGATTAAAATGTGCGCGATTTATAAAATGGGAGTTCTAATGGGATTTACATTGTGATTTTAAATTAAGACATTGGGATTTTCGAACCGTGAATTGTCTTCGAAATCGATTTGTAGTCGGAGACTTCTCGCGTGAATATGAACGTTTTTCTAGAGTTCTATGGATATATATATATATATATATATATATATATATATATATATATATATATATATATAATATCATATCATATCATGAACGATATTAATCAATAACCAATTTAGAATAGATTTGGAATGTATTAATAGGATTCCCTTAAACTGGACGTACGGAGCGTTCGCGTTAATTTTGAATGTTTCTCACATCAAAAAACCGATTAAGTGAAAAAGCTAAGTGATAAAACTATGAACGAGTAAAAAATACAATATGATTTTTAGATCTCAATTCTCGAAGTATTGTGGGACGTCTTTTTTCTGAACAGAATTCTTTTCTCCCTTCTACAAAATATATGTAATTTTTATGCAAATATTCATTGTTCAGCAAATTATGTCAATATATTGATGAGATGTGCTTGTCAGTTAAAATTTTAAAACTAATATTTACTTCATTACATCATTGTACAAACCATAAATAAACCTTTACACTCCTTGCGACAAGTTATTGAAACAATTTTATCATTTCACTATGTAATTTGAAATGCAATTGATTACTCAGATATTACATTAATATTTTCAAATATCTCTTCTAAATTATGAATCAGTAGGGAAGGTCGTAAAGTGGTCTCAACTATTATACTCTCGTTCTGACGACAATCACTCCATGAACTGAACATGTAATAAAAAATAATAAAAGGTGAACATCAGATTGTTATTTAAACAATTTTAATTTTAAAATTTCGAAACTAGTGAGTGAAGCAATATATCAAATAAGTTTTTGACCTTATTTTTAGTTCAATAATTTGACATTTTAATGTATCCATACATCGCACATTTGTGCGAGCGTATGAAATAGTTACTCATAAGGGGTGAGACTTTATGAGCTGGACAGATAACTGCTGGTATTACAAGTGTAATTAACTGCAAGTGGCCTGGTGAGATGTCTGTTCAGCTAGCGAACAAAAAAATAACATAAGATGAAGCGAAGTACTTTATGATGCAGAGAAGTGAATCACGTCAGAGAATTCTCATATTCCAGAAAAAATAAAAGACTGGCGTTGATGGCCCGAATGAGGTCTAATACCAGCAGGTATCCGCTTGGGTCGCAGAACGGCTTTCGCAGCCGGAGGACCCGCGCCGACGTGACGGCGGCCGGCGGGTGGGCGGGCCTGCGTTAGCATGCCAGGCGCCGCCCGCTCGCCCCATGCCATGCACATGCGCATGCGCTCACGAGGAGGGCGGACGCAAGCTGCTCTCGCAGGCGGAAAGCGGCGGTGAAGGAAGCGACGGCTCAACGTGTACTCCTACGCCTGTGTCGCATGAGCGTTAGGTTGACGCGCATTGGACGCGGGATAAGTAACACTGTGTCTTATTCGGAACGGCGCTCGTGTGCCGTTTCACAGTGTTATTCTACGACGTCCACTACTTATCGCAACGCCCTTAGGCGGAGATTGTTTTTGAGCAGAGAGTGTGAAGTTTTTTTAATAAAAATCCCAGACACATACATAGTTTTGATTGAAGAAAATTGAAAATGAACTCTGTGTCAGGAGTTAACTAATTCAAGATTATGGTCAATGCATTTAGGATCTAATCCTAGAAAAAATCAGGTATGATTCAATTCAATAACTGTAAACATTTTTATTTTCGGAATATGATCATACATGTATTACTGAAACTCATATACCGAAAATAATATCTAATATAATTTAATTTTTGAAAATGCTGAATGTTGTGACTGATCTACGGTGGTGTGTAGGTATTGCAAATTTAATTAAAAGCATATCTTAAACTGCTTTACTACATAATATTGTGAATTTATTTAAAAATGTGCACAATTTAGCAACCAATATTAAAGACAAAGCTTAATAAAAATGATAATTCGATTATGAGCATTCATGAGTGTTGCATAAGAAATATTCGAAAGATTTCATTTGGAAGTTGGCGTAATCCAACCACCAATCGGAACATCCATATTTCTTTCTTGTGAAGAGTTTTACCTCAGAGAAGACCTAGGAAAGTCCCTGAAATATTTTGCTGTAACTTTCTCATAGTGAGAAGTAGCAGGATGAGACCCTTCGATAAATCCAGCTCCGCTCCGCTACTAGTCGGTGGAAAGGGACATCTGCCTTCCCGCTGCAGAAGAGCGCTTTACGTCCGTACGATGGTAGTACCAGAGTCCTACAATGCGGCTTCTAGGCTCGTAACACGCACCGCAAGGCTAACTTTTTTATTCTGTTACTTTTTTTCATTACAATGTTCTTTTATAAGCACGTTGTTACGGAAAAACGTATTCCCGTTATGGTGATGAACGGAATTGTGGAGTAATCCTCCGATAACCTAGTCTGGCGTCGTCAGTCGCAGTCAGTCATTGCCTTTTCTCTCTTCGGCCTAGGGCTCGGTGCCGTTCCCAGGGTTTACAGCCGATCGCCCAGCCAGGAACCCGCGGTGTCCCGAGTTACTTAACCTCCGCGACTTCACAGAGCGCAGTTGGACTAGCGAAGCCGGCTCAGGTATGTGCAGTTAATGTTTCTCAGAGCATTTCCAATCGTCAGGGCTATTTGACAAAATTTGATTGGGCTTGCGTTTCTTGTTAGTTGGGTAATATATTAAAAAAGGGACAGGACGGAGGAAACAGGAGAGCTGGGAGGAACAATAGGAAAACTATGTAATGTGTCGGTTTAAATAAATTTAAAAAAATATAATTTTTTATTTTGTGGCAATGTAGAGTGTTTTAGAAAGCACTTAGTCAGCAATCGTTTAAAAAAGTGGAAAACACGTAGGTGTTTCTAAATCGATATTGCGGATCTCCGAATTCTGTCTGTAATTTCTGATTTCGATCGTCTTTTTCAGAACACACACCTTTTACACTCAAACAGTCCTTCAGAACACAAAACTTATTAGGTCGATCTCGGAACGTGGAAGAGTTAAGAAAACGTATTGCAAGTCTCTGGTGGGCGATGTGCATTGGACTCATGCAATTCCGTCTTCGTGCCATGCAAAGAAAGCAGCACGTACAGAAGCGGTCACTTCTGCAACTCACTGCAAGCGACCTTGAGCATGCACGATCATTATGCATCCAAATGTACAAGATGAAAGAATGTGGAAGCCTCGAGGGAGCTCACAGAGCAGGAACATTTGAAGAGTGTTTTAGTGGGACTTTTTGGGGAAGCAGTCGGTGGGGGCGGACGCGCCCTTCTCGGAAATCATCACAGACGCAACAGCGCGCTCCCAATAGGGAAATGGATCGTGTTCACCAGACGTTTAATGAAGACTGGAGGAAAATTAACTTTCACGATTCAGACACCATGAGGTAGCAAAAGTGAATGGGGGATTATATTCCTAATTGAGAACTGATATGCGAATGACTGTAACTAAATACTTTTAACAAATAAGTTGGATTAAGTACAGATCTGCAATATACCTACAGTTTACGTTTGTGTTTATATATGCTATTTAAGCATTTTGATTCATATTTTAGACACACGTTATTCCTACCACTTACGCGTGATTGAACGCTTCTAATTGTATTAAAATTTTGTATTGCAATTACTTGGTTTCCTCAAGGGGGCATAGAGATTAGAGGTGCAAGAAACATAACGTGATGACATGAGAGGTAAAAACATTTAATACGAATAAAACAAAAAAAAAACTTTTTGTAGAAATTCCAAAGTAAACACATGTAGGTACAATGCAAAATTTAAAAATAATTATATTTTAAAGGCAATTAAAATTAACTAAAAAAATATAAATTATATTGTATTCGTGTTATCCTGAAAACATCATACTTATTAATTGTAATAGAAAAGATCAGTTGATATTCATTTTCCCTGTGCACAAGAAAAATTACACATCTTAAAAATTATAATTTTTAGTTAAGTGAAGAAATGAAGTAGAGTGTTTTTGCTAGCAAAACTGTTATAAAGGTAGCTTCCAAGTTGCAGGTTTATACTGTAAAACTCTCAGACTTTTACTGCAAACTACACAGTGCTCTCAGGATCATTCTCCCACACAGTGACAATTTTTGGGTAGTTGCTTCTCTTGTGACTCAATGATATTTTCGAATTAAACTAATATGACATTTTCTCCGTAACAGAAATAAAATTTAATTTAAATGCTTTTCAAAAATAGATTTAATTGACTTTATTTAATAATTTTTCATCAGCCAGGATTATACATATGTACATCTGCTTTCTACGGAATTTCCAACGAAACAAAAATTTCCTATAAAATAAAAAGTTGTCTGTTGAATTACTCCTCCTGGCTAAGAAGAGTGTGAGAGTTTTTCTGCATAAGAAAGTGGTGGGGGAGCGAGCAGATGACTTCCCAGTGCAGGTTGGCGGGAC